ATAAATTCTTATAACCATCTGAAGCTTTCAGTTGACAGAATGACTAACTCCAATTTCAACATATTTTAGTAAAGATGGAAAATTATAATATCTGTAAAGAGTAAGTGAGTAAGTTGATTGCAAAGTTGAAATATAGAACTGTGAATAAAGTTTTAACCTTATTTATAAAGGGAAAACAATTCTCAAACTAGAAATATCACTAAAATTAATAATCAAATATGTTGAAATTGGGGTGAGCCATTTTGTTAACTGAAACGCCCTTTCATCTTTTTATCATATTTCTCAGCCATTTAATCCTTAAGAATTTGGTACATTGATGTCAATTGTTAAATGATATCTGATGACATTTATTTTAGATTCTGAGTAAAGACTTTTTTTTTTTTTACCTCCTCCTAAAACAAACTTTACCTTACCTTCAGTAGTGAGAAAGTAGAACAACTATTTAATATTGTAGATTTCGAGCACACATTAACTTAAAATTACCTTGAACTTTGCATCCAATTGGCTTCTAAACTTTCACCAACATACTCCTGGTTTTACTTTCTATCCAAGTATTTTGACTTTATGGTTATTTTACCGGAAAAGAGTTGTTACGAAATAAGGGAAAGGAAGCGTTCTAGGAAAAGGCATTATTGGGATGAGAATCATTTTCGAAGATCCTTTAGGTCAAGAAATTTAATAATAATAAAACAACGCACGTTTATAAATTATTCTCCTTTAATTGGAATTATGTAATCTTTTTAATTAATAAGCAAAGATAAATTTCAAACTCCTTTCACTTTAATTTCTACAATGACTGGAATAGGTTTTCGGAAGATGCTTCTGCATTTTCTCTTGAACAATATATTATTACTCCTTATATTGATTGGTGTATTGAATGAATATATATTGTCACATATTAAAATTAACAAAAACAATTGAACTAAGCATTTAATTGACAATATTTAAGCCCCAAGATAATTTCGTTTTAATAAAAGACATTATCAATATAATAAAATGCTACGAATTAGTTTTAAATAACCAATTTATTGAGTAATAATACAATCTGTCTCAATAAGGGCAATATATATCAGTGCTAAAAGTATTCATTCATACAATATTTACATACAAAAAGAAAATCAATATTAATATTTAAATAATGCAAAAGGAAAGTAAATACAAAATATATATATATATATATATATATATATATATATAATATATATATATATATATATATATATATATATATTTTATTGTTTATGAAATTAACTATTGTATAAATTGAATTTACACCTAGTAATTGTGTACGGAGGAATACAACAGCATGAAATGTATTGTAAAGAATCTACCCGTTGGTTGCACTCTAAAAAAATATCTAAATTAGGAGATCACGAGGCCATTTTCTTTTCATATACCTCGGGTGGTTATCAGGGATCGAAGAAAAAGCAAAGTTAGAAATGAGAGAATTAGAGGATTAGAGGATTAGAGGTTCCGAAGTTTACTGTGGAAAGATACTTATGTGGATTGGACCAATTCGGAAACATATGGTATAAACAATAATAATAAAGTAATATAGAATAAAAAATAATAATAAACTGAAGGGGATTAAGATTAAAATAAATAAAACATAGCTATACCTTTGTAAAATATTAATATAAATCACTAAAATACTCATCAAGAGACAGATCTGAACTGAGCTGAAGCTCTCCATCTCTCCCCCACCCAAAAAAAAAAATTAAATCCTGGATCCGCTTGTGGCCTAGAGGTCTTTAAATTGCACTGGTGAGGCAAATCAGAACTCAAGGAGCTCCCGGTGCACTGGTTATTAATTAATGTAGTAGATCAATTTGATAAAATTAAACAAAAGGGATCCAATTAGAGTATGCACAAGTTAGTCTAAAGTTTTCAAAAACGTATATTTTCTTTTCTGTGAGAAAATTAATTATAAGCCATATCTCTTTTCAAACTCAAAAATTGCAATTATTTCGATTATATTCTTCATGTAATCATAAAAAAAATATTTTAGTTTATGTTAAAGAATTCAACAAAAATTAAATATTCTTTCTTTTTTCAAATATGATGTTTTATTGAAGGTACGTGTACGAAAAGTTCTATTTTATTGAGAAATAGCGATCCCATCCAAAACCAGTTCTAAATCCTTTATGTCCTCCAAGGCGTCTAAGAAGAAGATGACCTCGTGATCTACTTATGTAAACATATTATTAGAGTGCTACCAATGGGTGGTTTCTCAACAAGCGTTTTCATGTGATTGTATTATAACTGTGTGCACATTTACTACTTGTATTTTTTTATATATGTAAATATATTTGAATATATATCAATATATATCAATAAAGTAAATATATATCAATTATTATAAACAAAAAAAATCCTTTATGCATATTCTGTGAATTACTTCTCTTTTACTAAATACTGATCAGTTATTGAATTGATTTCTTGATCACTACACCGTAAAACGCTTGTGGGAACTTTCAATTCTAACAACAAAATTTAAAATAAAATAAAAACAAAATAGGATCATAATCATGGACTATCGAATTATTGGGGGATAGTTTAAAAAAACGGACTGGTAATGCCGGCGACGCGGTTGAGAGAGAAGCGCTGGGATCTCTTAGAGTCTCGCTTTGTCCTTCTCACGTGGGGGAAAGGGCTGGACTCGGAGATCTCTTACCTAATTGGAAATATTGTATTTAAGTATGAATGTTTTTCTATTTATTTCTATTACTTATAATTTATTTAATTTCTTTACGAATTTCTGTATTTCATTTAATTTTAACTCTTAGTTACATTTCCTTGGTTTATTGTAGTCTTTGCCTTTGTTATATAGATTTTTATATTTTTTATTTATTTATTTATTTATTTTTATTTTTTATTTTATTTATTTTATTTTTTATTTTTTTTATTATTATTTTTTTTTATGTATTGTATGCATGGTATGAATGTGCCTCACTCAGCCTTAGTACTCAGTGCCCTTAAGTGTGGCAAAATGTATTATTACTCAATAAACAGATACAAAAAAAAAAAGTTAAAAAAAAAAAAATTTTTTGGTACCGTAAACTAAACAATACATATAACAAACTATTTTGAACAGAATTTATAAAAAATAAATAAATAAAAGTATATCTAATAAAGTTTTAATATAGAAAAACAGTAATTTCAGCTATTTTAGATATTTATTTGAAAATTCATATTGTTATTGATAGGATTATTTTCTATTATAGATGAATATATGTTATGGTTTCTTGGAGCCATCTTTATTAATTTTTATGACGAATTTCAATGTTTTCATATAAAATAATTTTTTTTATAAGAAACTACAGTTTTATAATTTATCAATGAATAATATTAGTTAAGTTTATAATTAGAACAAGTCATTGAAAAACTTTTGATTCATTGAGATAATTAAATTTTTTAAAACATTACATTAACTAGGATTAAGTTTTTAAGATTAGAAAATTTTTCTAATGAAAAGTCGATTTTCAGGTTTCTTAATTACTTACTTTACTTTAATTATTAATTAGAAATAAATCTACATCGGCAATTTAAACACAATCAGCTGTGATCTATTAAATATTTATGATAAAAAATATTATTTCTTAAATCTATAAATGATAGATTATTACTTGTGATTGGAATCAGTAGTTCTTTCTATTATCATTATACTCTACTTCAGTTCAGTCACCTGTAATTATAACCTAACTAATTATGAACATAGATAACTTTGATAAATCCTAATCAAAATTAACTTAAATTAAAATAAAAAGTACAAAAAATAAAAATCTGGTGAGCGCGACTCACAATTTTCACTTACCGCTGTAATTTGAATAGAAAAATTTTTCTGGCAATGTTGGACTATTATAAAAAATTTTATGTGCATTTTAAACGGGGTTATAGCTTAAAGCTTACAAATCATTAAGACCATTAAAATTACAAAAAATTAAAAGGTAATAAAAATCTAGTTTCTCCGCCTGCTTTCATAAACCACGTAACTACAGTCTTTGAGCCTTTCAGTTGACAGAATGATTAAGTGCAATATCAACATTTTTGAGTAATGTCATTTTAGTGACATTTCCAATTGGAAAAATTATATCTATAAAGACAGTGAGTAAATTGATTCCAGAGTAGGTTATTGCAGTGTTCAAATATAGAACTGTAAATAAAACATTTTGCGACAAGAAACATTACTAAAATTAACAATAAAGAATGTTGAAATTAGAGTCAGTCATTCTGTCAACCGAAATGCTATCATATGGCTAGAGAGGTTTATATCTGAATATGTAACCTATAAATGATTATGGATTGTAGGACTATTAGTTATGAAACTGTCATGTTCCATTGTAAAGTTTACTAAAATGATATTACGAGATTTTCACTGCCTGCTGTGAATAGATCATATGTTGTCATACTAATTGTAAGTGGATAATGTTGCGATTTCACAAAGGTAAAATTCATCAAATTATTCACTAATTTAATTTTCTAAAAGGTTGATTGATGGTTTTTCGAATGAAAGGGGCAAATGATACCTAATTATTTAAATATAATATCTAGAGTTATTAAACTGCAGTAAATGTGTTTAAGGTTACAAACATATCCATGAAATATTATATTACACCCTCATTTAATGAAATATTAAATTTCATTCTCAGGAGACCTCAAAACGAGTATTTCCGTTGAAAACTCAGATTCAAAAACTTTCACGATCGCAATACTTTCTCTTACTATATATTACATATATAGGTAAGTGAAAATAAAAATATTATGTCATATTGAACTGGAAGAATTTAGACGATTATTATATGTCACCTTCTACGTATCTATTACTATAATGATTAATGATAAATGTTTAAATGATGGAATACTTTACAAAAAAGTAATATGTATTTAGCACGATTTTTTTTCAGTCTGAAAAGCTTTTTATTTTCTTGCTAAATACAGACTAACACTTATTTATATTTAAATGTTTCTCTGCAAATAAATATAATTTTTATTGATTAATATTTTTTTTTCAGTACTACTTAATACTTTTCTTAGGAGTAGTTACTACCAATGGGAATGGACACTTTAGCAGACAACCTCGTGGAACCTGGGGACAAAGGCAATGCACATTATATATTTTATCATTTAAATTCTCATTTCGATTATTTTTATGCAATAAGTAATTTAAAATTTTTCGTATATGTTTTCAGCTCCGGTGGAATGAATGGTGGTAATGGTGGAGGTTCTGCCACTAGTTATGTGCAGACTTATCTAGGGACAGTAACTTATCAAGGAGCCGGTGGAGCTAAAGGTGGTGGAGGAGGAGGTGGTTATGGTGCGAGTGGAGGAGGCAACGGATGGCAGAGTGACAGCAACGGTGGAGGAGGATTCGGTGGTGATGGACATACATACGCAAGCTTTAGTACTGGAGGTGGAGCGGATCATGGAAGTAGTTCTGGAAACGCTTTAGACAGCAATGGATGGGATCAGCAACAAGGTGGTGGTGACCACGGATCCTCTGGAGGTCAGCACTACGGAGGTGGCTCCGATCAAGGAAGCGCTGGTGGCAATGGATGGGATCAACAACAAGGTGGTGGATCCGGTGGATATCATTATGGAGTAGGTTCCAATCAAGGCAGTAGTGGTGGAAGCGGTTGGGATCAGCAACAGGGTGGTGGTTCTGACTATGGAAGCAGTGGTGGAAATGGGTGGGACCAGCAACAAGGCGGTGGTTCTGACTATGGAAGCAGTGGTGGAAATGGGTGGGACCAGCAACAAGGCGGTGGTTCTGATCACGGAAGCAGTGGTGGAAATGGGTGGGACCAGCAACAAGGAGGTGGTTCTGATTATGGAAGCAGTGGTGGAAATGGGTGGGACCAGCAACAAGGCGGTGGTTCTGATTATGGAAGCAGTGGTGGAAATGGGTGGGATCAACAACAAGGAGGTGGTTCTGGTCATGGAAGCAGTGGTGGAATCAGTTTGATTCTGCAGCAAGGAGGTGACACAGACCACGGAAGCAGTGGTGGAAATGGATGGGGTCAGCAATATGGAGGTGGTTCTGACCACGGAAGCAGTGGTGGAAATGGATGGGGTCAGCAACAAGGAGGTGGTTCCGGCGGTCATCACTACGGAGGTGGTTCTGATCAAGGAAGCAGTGGCGGAAACGGTTGGGATCAGCAACAGGGAGGCGGTTCCGATGGAGGCTACGGTCAAGGTAGCAGTGGTGGGAGCGGATGGGATCAGCAGCAGGGTGGAGGTAACAATGGAGGTGGCAGTCACACAATTATCATCCAACAACCAAAGTTCCAGAAAACTATCAAAGCCTTCCCTGTGTACAAGGCCCTCAAGGTACCCGTGCCACATCCTGTCAAAAGCCCTTTTATTGTACCCTTTCCGGTGAAGGTTCCTGAACCATTTGCTCTGGAAATACCGTTCCCAGTACCAGTGGAAAAGATAGTACAAGTGGCTGTGGAGAAGAAAGTCCCATTTCCTGTCGAGAAACCAGTTCCGGTCGAAGTCGTGAAAACTATCCGAGTTCCAGTACCAAAGCCAGTCCCAGTCCCTGTACCTGTGTACAAAATAAAATACATCATCCACACAAAGAAGTCAAAGGGATGGTGGAACTGAAAATATGAGCCAAAATAATCGTTGTTAATATTTTTGTATTTTGTACATTATGCAATCATTGTAAAGACTGATGATCTATCTGATTATGTGATATTTTTGTATACTTGTTAAAGAATAAAATGTTTAACTGAAATGCTCTTCATGTGGTCAATGTGTTTTTTTAAGTTAAGTTAACAAATCGATTAAAGACTTATCAATAATAATAATTAAATCAGTCTTCAAAGGAAGTTGTAATGATAAAGATGGACATGGACATGGAGCAGCAACCTGAAACTAATAACCAAAAGATTTGAGAGAAAAATCCTTTTCAAAATAACCATATCTCCCTCATTATCGTCCGAAAAAACAATATAGAACGGTTAACAAAAACTGGTTGTCTACATGTTATGATATGAAAGCAAGGAAGTCAAGATGGGCTATACGTATTGAAGGCATCCAGGATGGCTATACTTAACATTCACACTAATCGGCAACGTGAGAGTCTAAATCTATCCAAAAATCCTCATATATTACTTACAGAATTGTTATTTTCATACATTCGGAGCTATTTTATCATTAATGAATGATAAAATTACTTCTTCAATTTTCTTTCATCAGGAGTATTCTACTTAGAGTATAAACAGAATGTTTAAAAACTTTTTTTGGGTATTGATTAAGTACTATAACAATAATGAAGAGTGATTTATGAATTAATGCGATTTCAGGGACACCAACAGGGCCTAATTTTTATGGTTTTGTTTTTCAATTTTTATATTACGAAATGCTATTATGAATATTAATACAATATTTTAAGAGATGACGATTTTTTTATATTCTATATTATTACTGCGCATTTTAAATTATTTCATTACAAACACTTCTTCATTACCTGTACACTCAGGCTGAAATAATTATTGCATAATCTGTTTTAATAAAATGAGATTATAAAAACAAAATAAGATAGAAAAAAATAGGTTAATGAATAAAATAAATATTTTAAAAATAATTGTAATTTTTAAATCAGTTAAATGTATTCGCGAATAATTTAAAAATATTTATAACTTTTAAGAAGTATATATTTATTTACTAATTATTAACTACTGATTATATATCGCTGAAGTCGTAAAAAAAAAGTATGAGATCACGAACTGATCTAATCACGAATCCTAATAACCAGTGAACGATATATGAAATAATTAATTTTGTTAAGTTTGTAAATATTCAGTCCATCCATCAAAATAAATAAATAAATAAAAATAAAATACTTTTATAGGAGTAGATAACATGCTAAAACAATACCTGTTAACAATTAAGAGACCCAATGCACACAGATCAAAATATTGACAACTTTTGATGTAAACTATATCAGGATCCCTTCGTCATTTTTAATCGTCTACGCACAGCTAATACCTGTTTCTTTTAAAAAGCAAGAAATATATCGATGTATTTTATAAATCGACCAGTGTCCAATAAACAGTGGATCTGTTCCAGAAACGCATCCATAATCCCTCACTGACAATTAATAGATCAGATTGACTTCGGACAGCGAACACAATTCAATGGGGTGGAACAAAAGTTGTCTTTTATACTTAAAAGTGGTCTAATACTGTGTTATTTCATCTTTGTGTATGATTGAGTCAGTGAATGCAAACTTTTTCATTCATTTATTTTAATGAACCTACAACACTGTTACTGAGTCCATAACTAATCAGATAATGATGATAAGGAAAAGGAGAACCCGCTATAAAATGTTGTTTATCTGATACTAACAGGCAGAGCGAAAAAAATCATAACTTTCTCGATAGCGAAGATAATTGACTATCAGTAACAAATGAATGTATAATTACAACAGTATGATTTTGGTAAAACAAAAAGTCTTCTTAAATTGAATAAATACTTTTAGCTTGCTAATATTGGTAAATAGTGATATGATTTCAAAATAATTTTTTTTCCTGCCTTTTTTTTTTTTAAATCATTCTTTCACCCCTACAAAAAAAATATGTTTGAAAAATTAAACATACCGATTTAACCTAACCGAATAATACTTCTGTTATGTCGGGCAGTCATGAAGTGTGGAAATAAGATGGCATAACATATGAGGAAATGGTGTTCAAATTTTTTTTTTTTTTTGGTTGATCAAAAATGTTCATGAGGGAAAATAATGAACCAAACGTATTAAATTTACTATAAACTGATATCTTTGCTTATAACGGGCCGGATTTCGATGTTTTTTTTTTATTTCTTGTATTTTATAAATAGAATGAAATTTGCAAATGATTATCTATAACAACAATAATTTGATTTATTCAAGAGGACCTATCGGCATTACCAGAGAATGTTCAATATGGTGCCTCAATGATTGATAATTAAAAAATATTAAGGAATAAAAAAATACTTGTGAGAAGTAACATGATAGAGTGTATAGAAAAAAAGACAGTTTTATCAAATTCAAGATTTCAAAGATCCTTATTTCAATCCTTCGGATCGCGCTTTATTGCAGGAGGAGACTATAACGCTAAACACCAACGATGGGGTTGTCGAGCATCCAACTGCCGTGGTAACATACTATCTTCTCTCTCAACTTCCAATAGTTACTCTGTCCTTTCTCCTATTAATCCTACCTATTGGCCAACTTCCCTCAGAAAACGCCCTGATATCCTCGACATATTTGTCACCTCCCAGATTTCCTCTTCCCATGTCACAATCAAATCCCTGGATGACCTCTCCTCAGATCATTCTCCAGTTCTGCTTTCATTACACCCAACCTTCGCTCCTAAGTCCACGTCCCCTCTTACACTGATTACAGGACGAGTAAACTGTGACAAATTTCGGAAAGACCTGGAAAATAAATTGGACCTAAATACTCCACTTAAGACGAAACATGACATTGACACAGCCATAGAAGTACTTACTACATCTATAAGTGACAAAATAAACGATAATACTTCTATCAATAAAATTAACAACTCCCAACTGACAAACTTGCCACAGTATATTCGTATCTTATTAAGGAAAAAACGCAGAGCAAGATCGAAGTGGCACAGGACCAGATACCTATCAGATAAGACATATTAACTAACCAACTAAAAGCTAAAATTAAAAAAGACAAAATTCAAAATTTACTTAACATGACAGAAAAACTTACTACTACTGACAAATCATTATGGTTGACCACTGAAAAGCTCCTTAAATTTAAATATTTTAACCATCCACTTATTACTGAAACCCAAACCTGGTCTAGATCTGACGAAGAAAAATCACATATATTTGCTCAACACCTCTTCAAAACATTTAATCCACACCCAGATATCCTTAATTCAACCCACCTTGAGTTTATTGAAGCAGAATTGGATATCCCACTCCAACTGACACCTCAACCTAAAGCATTTCATCCTTCAGAAATATCCAATATCATTCATAGATTACCTTCCCGCAAAGCTCCTGGCCAAGACCTAATCACATCCCAGATCCTAAAACTGCATCCTAAAAAAGCCATACTATTCCTCATCTATATATATAACGCTGTACTTCGAACCACATATTTCCCTGACCCTTGGAAACTACCCATTGTCAAAATGATACCTAAACCCACGAAGCCGCCCGAACACCCATCCTCTTACCGTCCTATTTCTCTCTTACCCATTATGGGCAAAATCTTGGAAAAACTCATTTTAAAACGCCTGTATCCTATCCTAGACTCTAAACAAATTATCCCAGATCACCAATTTGGATTCCGCACATCCCACTCCACTATACAGCAATGCCATCGTGTGGTAGATTTAGTCTCCTCTGCATTGGAGCACGGAATGTACCGCACGGGAGTCTTTCTCGACGTTGAACAGGAGTTTGATAGAGTCTGGCATCCCGGACTGGTGTACAAACTCCGTAAATTCCTACCACCTACATACTTCCTCATTATCCGTTCCTACCTTACTGACATATTCTTCAAAGTCAATCATAACAATGCTTTTTCATCTATTTTTTCTCAGTTTGCTGGTGTACCTCAAGGTAGTATCCTAGGTTCTATCCTTTATACAGTTTATACAGCTGACATCCCAACCCATTCCAACACTGTCATCACCACATATGCCGATGATACATGTATCCTATCAGTCAATAACGATCCATCTATTGCATCCCAAACTCTTCAATCACACATCACAAGTCTTAAAAAATGGTGTCAAAACTGGAGGATTAAAATAAACTCCAATAAATCCCATCAAATTACCTTTACTCTTCGTCGTAAACCTATGACTTCTCAGTATCCTTTAACACTACCCCACTTATCCCTGTTGAACAAATTCGATACCTAGGACTCCACCTTGACAAACGACTCACTTGGAACCCCCATACAAGAACTGAAACGACTAGAAACCGCCCGACGTTTCCGACTACTCCAGCACTTACTAGACAAACGCTCTACTGCAAACTATTTACAAAAGACTCATATACATTACTATAATAAGGCCTATTTGGACTTACGGGATCGAGCTTTGGGGCTCTACTAAACCATCAAATTCCTCTCGTATCCAATCCCTACAATCCAAAATCCTTCGTAAAATCCTTAATGCTCTCTACTTTGTCACAAATAAAATCATCCATAATGACCTTAATGTACCATATGTTTCCGATTTAGCTCAATCCAGATACCTGTCCTTTCATAATAAACTTCTGAACCATCTGAACCCTCTCGTTTCCAACCTTGCTTTCTCTTCTATTCCTGATAACCCTCCGAGGCGTCTAAAAAGAAGATGGCCTCGGGACCTTCTAATATAGAAATATAATTGGAGTGCTACCAATGGGTAGTTTCTCCTCATGTTGTACGTGTCATATTACTTGTGCATATTTACTTGTTGTATTTATTATTAATTACAGTTGTAAATTTCGTTAATAAAAAAAAAAAAAAAAAAAAAAAAAAAGATTTCAAAGGACTGTAAATATTTTAATCCTTTTTAATACTTAATAATTCCTTTATAGCATTCTCTAAGCTTGATTATTCCAATTTGAATTCTTAAAAAAAGTCTCAGTTTATTTTAAAGAAGAAACATGATAGTGTCCTACGAAATTAGGCATTACAGGAAAAAGAAATTCAAAGCCGCTGAAGCAGCCCGTGAAATTATTAAATATAAAGCAGCTTGGGTCCTTGA